AACCAGTAGGTGGCAGTAGTGTTCTTTGACAAACATGGATGCCTCCAGTAAAGCACATTCACATGAAAATTACTCTGAATTAAAACAGTGATCATTTATTGAACAGGATGGAATCATTTCAGATTTAAAGAACTTTCAGAAGTTTGAATTCTGAATATGACCAGACTTCTCCTTTAAAGTGATGCTTTACCTCGGCCTCTGACCTCCCTTCACCAGACACTTCCTACTTATAATTGTCAAAGATAATCCCTCTGACAATGATTTTGTTGCAATGTTCAGTTTTTATATAATTTATTTAACTTAGACTTCCTGTGGACATTATCTCTAATTTGGGCCTTCAGTTAATCTCAAAGTTCTGTAAAGTGTTCTTTGATCTACTGAGCCTATCCTGTTTGCCTTACCCATGACAGATCTTTGCTGCAGACTGTTTCTCACAGTCTCTCAGTTTACTATAAATTTGGACATAATCACAGTTGCTTCTTTCAGGAGCTACTGGAGCTGCTATATCTTTTTTGAAATGTTAAAGAATTCAGGTCACCAACCTGTGTTTAGCTTTTGCTGAACTGCAAAAGGAAATCTGTGACCTTAATCTTAATCCTGCATTCAATACAAAAGACTGAAAGGACTTGAAAGGATAAAATAAAGAAATTAGAGGAATATATGAAAGAAAATGTGATGTCAAATATATTTTAAAAATATATGTTTTAGTTTTGTTGAAATTTTCAAAACATGCTGCTTAGTTGGCATTGTGGAAGAGCTTTGACATACACTCGCAGAACTCCCTAACACCTTTACAAAATGTTATACAAATAGTTTTATAAGAAAATTTTAAAAAATGTACCGTAACTGTATTTTTTCTTACTGAATTTTAGATGGTATTACAGAGACACCAAACGGCTGGATGCAGAGAGGCTGCTGCTGGCAGAGGAAAATAGGCAAGGTGCATTTCTCCTTAGAACATCAAAATCTCTGAGAGGAGCCCTTTCTCTATCAGGTAAGCAAACTTCAGAGTATGCTGTTTCTGTGGTCTGCAAGCGCATCAGTTAAACTTGGTTCTGTTCCTCTGGTTTTGTCTTCCTCTGCTATGTCCTTCTTTAGCCCAAAACTATTGTAGCCCAACTAGAGATAGCTCAGGGTAAAATAGCCACAATATCTATAACCTTTATCAAAAGGAAACATTTTGTGTTGAGTCTTAAATAAGGTAATGAGTCTGACTAAAACTGGCAGTCTGTTGCACAAGCGAGAATAATAACCAAAAGATCTGCCTCTCATTCTGCTTTCGGAATCTGTTAGGAACATAGAGATGTTCCTGGACGGGGCCGCCTTTTACAGTTGCCTTTTGTATCTCTGATTCTTACTGTAACCAGTTACCAGTTGGATAGAGTTTGGATAAATTCTAAGAACAGATTGGTTGTTTTTCCAACCATTCTAGTTGGTTAAAAATATTGTGATTAGATTAAACAATGTAATGATCAATATCTAAGCAAGTCACTGGACACAGTTTTAATATTAGTTTTAAGTACTGTAGTATTGGTGTCTGATGAGCAGTTATCTGTGTTAGAGGTGTCAGCTGAGAGACATGTACTTTCACTCCTTAGGTTGTTTATTTGAGACCCACTTTAGACTTTTAAAAGTTTTGGCTACTGTGACTAATAGTATTGGTTTTTCCTAGTACAAATATAGATTGGGTGAAAACACTGCCAAATTAGATTGGTTGGTTTAACCAAAAGACTGGTTGAACAAATAACTTCCAACCCGATTAAAACCAAAAACTGTGGAAAAACTATTATTTTTGAACAAAATGACTAACACCTTGTATTTTGCTCATCATTGCCCAATTTGCACAAACACTTTCACTGTCTGCCTAAGCTTATCTAAAATGGCAGAAAAACAGTGAACCTTAAATGATTCTTCTCTTCTAAGACATTTTGCACGAAAAAAAGGCAAAAAGATTTTATTATACATGCCAATCATCAACATTTTCAAAGGAACTTAAATTGGAAAAAAACAAGAAAAACAATTACTAACTGTAGCTCTGCATTCCACCAGTAGGTGGTGACATGTTCACATGAAGGTTCATGAACTGTGGGGATCGTTGAAGCAATTTAGCCAATTGGTTCAACGAGGCTTCATCTCACCATCACTACAAAAATCCAAAATACATTTAAAATAAGATACACCAGGGAAAACTCACATGGGAAGCCAGAGACGAGGGAACAAAAAAAACAACAAACCAGCACTGAGTGACTGCAGAGGTGGTGTATATATGGGGAGACTGAACCAAGACAGGCTAATCAGCAGATTGGAACCAACCAGAAGGAAGCCAAGAGGAAAGGAAAAAAGCACAACGGGGCAACAAAGGGGAACTAAAGAGATCGGCACTGATAGAAATCAACTACTAAGACACAGAACACAAAGAAACTAAAAATAAACCCAAGCAGAGGTCAGAACCTTGACATTGTGTACATCAGACTGGCATGCTCTAACATGCTTTAGATTTATGCATTCATTGTAGCTGGAGGAGAAGATAAATGTGTAAATGCTTAGATTCAAACAGACCATTTTAAACATCAAATCATTCTGAAACTAGAAATTTGAACTTGATAAAAGGTTTTTCCTTACCTAACTTTAATACAACTTCATGTAAATAAAATGATTATGTATTGTTTTTCAGTTTTGCACCAAGGAAAGGTGAAACATTACCAGCTGGAGAAACTGGATAATGGTTACTACTGCGTGTCTAAGAACAAGTCCTTCCCAACACTGAAGGAGTTTGTGGAATATTACTCCAGACAGTCTGATGGGCTGTGCGGGTGCCTGGGCGACCCATGCAGAAAGGTAGCCTGTAGCATTAGGAACACAGATCTAATCACTTTTACTCTGTTTTTCTTTATTACTACCTTCCCTGTTTTGCAGACAGAGGCTCCGCAGACCTACAGTCTGTCCTACAACACAGTGGATCAGTGGGAGATTGATCGCAGTTCTATCAAACTCCTGAACAAGCTCGGAAGCGGACAGTTTGGAGAAGTCTTTGAGGGGGTGTGGAACGACACCACGTCAGTTGCTGTGAAGATCCTCGAAACTGGTAGAGGAAAATAATCATTTATGTGATTTTGGAGTATTCTCTAGTTATGTTTTAAGAAAACAGACAGATTTCATTCAGAGCTCATGACAAATATTGAATAAGAAACATCAAACTAATGGGATCTCAGATTAAAAGGTTAGTCTATCTAGAGATTTCAGGCAAGTGGGATAACAAAGAAAAAGTAAATGGCTAAACAACAAGTTGCTTCATCCAAGAACTAATGGCACTGTCAAACATACCTCTTACTAGGCAAAGTAACTACATAGCTGCTTTTTATCATCTAAAATGTCTAGTTAATATATCTTTAAATCAAACTCTTAACTGTCTTATCAAATGCAACATATTAAAATCTGGACAAGATATCCAAAAGTATTGTACACTAATCTACACCATTTTAGTATGTGTCATGGGATAAATGAGTCAACACAGCTATGCCAATATTCACCTGGATTTTGTTCACTCTTTATAAATACAATAAAACCTAATAAATATATTAGAATTTGACATAAAAACCAACTGAAAGGGTAGAAAAGCACATTGAGAGAGTAGACATCTGCCAAGCAGCAAAAATTGCCCCATGTTGTGATTTAAAACTGTAGCTACAACTTACAAATGATCTGGATCATTTAAAAGTTTTAATGGATTGTCCCCTGGCATGATGGGCACTTGTGGTAAAAATTTCATTACAAACGAATTATATATTTTCAGTAATCTGGCTAACCAACTGGAAAACCAACCAACAAAGCTGATACAAAACACTTTAACTGTATTATTCCACACCCAAAGGACTCTGCTGTCCATGTATACCTTAAGGACAAAGGACATTCGTTTGGGGAGCAGAATGTTCACAAAGAAGGTTTGAAGAAGGTTTGGAAGGGGTTTGAAGGAAGCCATTTATGCTAAGAGAGAAAAAACAACCTTAAACAGAGGGGGTGGCCTCAGGTTGCAGCTCTCAAAAACCTACAACGCAGTGAAAGAGTTGATTCCTCTCCACTTTCAACTCAACCCCCATCGCTATGCAGGGGACCAAAACATCTCGCCTTGTCAGCCAGACCTAACAACGACCTCCATGGCTCCCCATCACTAAGGGGTGGACCTGTTTTTTCGGTCAAATTTGCAAGTTTTCTAAGCCATAACAAGGCTTTTGTTTGTGCCAATCTATAAGCCTGGAACTTAAAGCCTATTTCAGACATTTTGACTTGAGAAAGTGTCCTGGATGGGAAGCAAAAAGTCCTCAAACTTGGAAAACAATTTTTTTTTGTTTTTTTGTTTTTTTTACTTTTTTAACCTTGTTGGAAAGACACTTCCTTGCAATGAAAGAAAATAAAAATCTGTTGCTAAAGAAAACTATTAAGCTTCAACATCATTACAGTGTGTCAAAGCTGAGAACAGAACTATCCAGTAATTTGAGGCGGACAAAAGAGTTAGATTTCACAGAACATTTTATTTACAACAGAATTGGGTGGATGACATTGCCGTCTAAGGCAGGAACCTATGCGGGTGTAGATGGCAGGTTAGTGACCACGTCTTTCTGGTAGTGGCTGATGACAAACAAGCGTGTCACTAACCTGGTCTTATAGTTCAGTCTCAGCGGGTGACAATGGTTCCGGCCGGCTGGCTGATAATGTGGCGCCACGCTCATCGCACAGCGAGTCCCAGACACAGGTGTATCAGAGGACAGGCAGGAGATCAGAACCAAGCAGACATAAGTAGGCAGGATAATCCAGAGGGCAAGGCCAATGTAAGTCGGTTGTCAGAGCCAGGAGGTCAGAGATCTGGTCAGGTGCCGAATCCAAAAATCCAAGAGGAGGTCAGGTAACAGTTCCAGGTTCTGGACGCAGTGGGGCTGATAGCATGGATGACGGCGGGCAAACTCAGTGGTCGGGAAAACGGTTCCGGTTGGTACACAAGTAGGCAGAGATCAGGCAGGAGTCAGGAGACAGATCAGGTAAAAAGATCAGATGGGAACAGGCAGGCTCAGAGGTCGAGATGCAGAATGGGTCAGGATCAAAAAGTCAGAACACAGGTACGCTAGAGTAATCTAGCACTGATGACAGGTCTGAAGGCTGGTTAAATAGTGGCTAATGCAGGTGGATCAGATAAGTAGGTAATGAGAACTGGGTGGAGCTAAGCAGGTGTGTGAAATGAGTAATCAGACCAGGCATCATTGTGAGATCATGAGACAGTGTTATCAATACATTATTTAATGGACAGCTTACCTTAATTTCTATGTCAAAGTATTAATATGGTTCAGCATGCACTATTAGAGTGTCTTTCATTGTTTCTGTGGAATGAAAACTTGTGGAATTAGCAAACAGCAGGACCTACATCTTAACAGCATTTAGGAATAGGCTCAGATGAAGTCATCAGTCACAAACCTGTGATATTCATTAACAACATTCATCTTATTTAGAGACAGAGTTGGACCTAAAATGGAAACCTTTGTACGTTTATGTAAACTTATTACAATCTGTGTTAAACGCACTGGCTCT